CGGCGGAGGGCGCGGCCGTGTGCGGGAGCGACGGACGCACCTACCCCAGCCTGTGCGCGCTCCGGGCGGAAAACCGTGCCGCGCGTGTCCGGGGCGAGTTCCCGGCCGTGCCGGTGCAGAAGGGCGCCTGTGGGAGCCCAGGTGAGTGGGAGGGCGCGGCGCGGCGCTGGGGGACCCAGAGGCACTTGGGACCCCGAGGAGCTGAGGGACCCTGGGGAGCTGCGCGAACCCTCGCGGGAGCCCGCAATCCACCTTGCCTTGTATGCACCCCTTGGCTCCTCGGGCCCTCCCTGCTTCTCACCTTTTCCTCGGTTGTGTTGTTCTGAATTTTCTTTCTTTCCCAGAAAGTGTCCTTTACCAGCAGTTTTGCCCCATTCATCTTTTATTACTTTTTTTGTACACTTGATACACTTTCTTATGGATCACATACTTCCCTCATGCATTTACTTTACTGGCATATTTTGTGATACATAATAATTATGGGACTATGTACATCGCTTTGGGAATATGTACATCTGTAGTATTTTACTGGCACTGCCGGCCCATTCTTCTCGCCCCCGACGCTCCATCCCATTCATCTTTTGAACGCCATCTTCCTTTTTTAATCCTTTTCAACTGGTCTGACAGCCTGATTCACTCAAAGAATAGGGGCGCCTGATGAGGGGAAGGAGAGGGAGAAGGGAGAGGACAGAAGCTTGTGAGGTCCGAGCCAAGCACCAAGGTTTCTTCACAGGGACCAGAAGCGCAGGCTGGCTGCGGAGTAAGTACAATTTCATCGCCTCGGTGGTGGAGAAGGTGGCGCCTGCTGTGGTTCACTTGCAGCTGTTCCGCAGGTAAAGTGGCAGGAGGAGAAGGACCCCAGCCCGAGGTTTCTAAGGTTGGCTCACCTATCTGCTCTGGGCCCTTAGCAACCATCCTTGAATCCTAAACTAGGCAAAGACCTCTGTGCAGAGACGTCGGGCTAAAAGAGGTTGCAGGGATGTAGCTCAGTGCACATCTGAACAGCGATAGCCTAGGTGGTCCCTCGCTCTGACGTGTGTGTGTGTGCGCGCGTGTGTGCGCGCGCGCGCGCGTGTGTGTGTGTGTGTGTGTGTGTCCTGTTCAAGGTGCTTTAAACAGCAGAGGTATAGAGGGCTCCGGCTCCCAAATCTTGTATGAAATCTGAGTCATTCCTGTGCACTTAAGTGGCTGGGGGGTTCCTTTCTTAATTTCTCACAGACAAAATTAAAGGCCAGATGTAGGAGCTAGCAGGCCTCTCGGCGATCCTGCTAAGCGCCATTCCTGGTTTACATGCAGGGAGACCCAGACCCAAAGCCTAGGATTAATTTCCTTGTGTCAGAGGGCCAGTTGGTAATGGGAATTGGATCAAAACCAGACCATTTTGCCTCCCTCCCTCCCTCCCTGGGTCCTCCATACGGTGGCACTAGGGCCACTTTTGCCCAAAGTATTGGGGTTAGGGCTGGCCTCTGTAGCAGGGATGATCAGGGCATGGCACATGCTCATTCATTTATACATGGAGAAGATGAAAACACAGGCAGGGAAAAGCACTGTAAAAAGCCTGATAAAGGTGTAACAGGGCTATATTCAATCCATGTGAGGGTCCTGTAATTCACAGGTAGTGAAGCCCCTGGATGGAAACCCCTCTAATGTTCCTGCTTTCTGTTTACACTGGTGTCTCATGGAGACAGGTCACATCTCGGCAGCAAGGACATTCCTGCATCCAGTGGCTCTGGGTTCATAGTGTCTGAGGATGGGCTCATTGTTACCAATGCTCATGTCCTCACTAACCAGCAGCGCATCCAAGTGGAGCTCCAGAGTGGGGTCCAGTATGAAGCCACTGTCAAGGACATTGACCATAAATTGGATCTTGCACTGATTAAGATTGAGCCACATGTGAGTGTCTTAGGGCTTACTTTGACTCTGTGTATTCGAGGATTTTCATCTGTGCTGATCTTTTATCACTTCACACTGTACCAGATCTTTTCTATCTAGTGGATGCTTTGTTCTAGTTTCTTTCTGTCCTTCATACTCTTGTTTTCTTTCATGCCTGTTTGTATATCCCTGACAATTTCTATTTTCACAGCAGTCTCTTCTGTTCCCTCTCCTCTCTTCCTCTCCCTTGCCCCTTCTTTGTTCTCTCCTTCAGCAGATGCCACTTGTGGGAAAAATCATTTCTCTGCATGAGACAGCAGAGATTACTGCAGTGGGCTCTGAGCTGTTAGGGAACACTTTGAGATCCTTGCTACTCCAGGTGTGGTCTGCACACCAGCAGGATGGATGTGTGGTCTGAGACCTTTTTAGAAATGTAGAACCTCAGATTCCACCCAGACTTACTGACTCAAATCTGCATTTTGATAAGATCCTGGTGTTTCATGTGCACATTACATTTTGAAAAGTGCTGCACTGGCTGATCTCTTCCCTGTTTGTGGCTCCTTCGCTTTGACTGTCATCTGTTGAGCTGTAATAGTGTTAAGTGAATCACTAATGTCAATTTATGTCCATCGGTTACTTTGGTGTTTTGCTAATAGTAAGTTTTATGAAGTAACAATTTTTCATCTTAGAGATGGTTTCAATCATAACAAGTGAGAGCTTGGGGGTAGTTGGGCTTTGAGGAAGAAGCAGCTGTAGATCTGGTGTGGGAGGAGGTACTTCTGAGATCAGTGCCAAATGATAAGAGATAGTGTCATACGTTTATTACGTACAAATATTCGTTCACTTGGTCTTGATTTTTTTCTTTTTCCTTCTGTCCTTTGTACTCTTCCTTGCCTGTACATAGACTGACCTTCCTGTTCTGTTGCTGGGAAGATCATCTGACCTTCGGGCTGGAGAGTTCGTGGTGGCCTTGGGCAGCCCATTTTCTCTGCAGAACACAGTGACTGCAGGGATTGTCAGCACCACACAGCGAGGGGGCAAAGAGCTGGGGCTGAAAGATTCAGACATGGACTATATCCAGACTGATGCCATCATCAATGTAAGTCGCTGAGGAAGTCTGACCTCAGCCCAAAGATACTGGTAGTGTTCAGTGAGGGGGAAACTTTCTCCTGGCCTTTGGGCAGGTCTGGAGGGCAGTTAGATCCCTATGAGAAGAATGGACTGCCACATTGTTAGAGCTGAGCCTGTTTCATGTGATAATTGCCATCTTCACTTTTGGATGTTCTCCCAGTGTTTATCATAGAGGTCAGCACTGATGTAGAATGTAGGGCCCTATTGCAATTGGTCTTTATTGACACTGACTTCAGTATTGGTAATGATAGGTGGCAGCATTTTGCCTGCCTTGGGGAAGGACTCACTAGTGCTGGCTGATTCTGGTAAAGCTCAGTGGGAGCTATGTATAAATAACATGGAGAAATGTATTCATTGGCTGTACTGATGGCTTTTTCAACTTGTGTCTTTAGCACGGGAATTCTGGGGGGCCTCTGGTGAACTTGGTAAGTAGCTATTTTCCTTGCTGCTTCAGGTTTCTTCCTAACTCTCAAAGATTTTCCATATTCTGTAACACAAACCTGGACGCCCTCCTTGTGTAGAGAGTGGTGGAATAAAACTTTCCTATTCTGGAATCTTAAGTAAATGGTTAGGGAAAAGGCAAGATCTATGATGACTTTATCATCCAGGTGTGTGTTCTTATCTGAGAGCACCAGGGTTCTGGCTCTGGCTTTCTTCAAAGATTTCCTCTTCAGCGTGGTTTTTGTTTGTATGGAGTAGTTACCAAAAGCCCTGAATATTAAGCCCAGATTTATGCCAAATGACCAACTGTCCTATGGAATATATATCCTTAAAGATGCCCCTGCTGCTGTGTATGAAGAGGCATTCCTCATGTAAAAATACTTACTATATAATGAGGACTGTCCATACTTTTGGTCTTGAGCTGCTTGAGGATAACAAAAAGCTACAACCCCAAATCCATTGTTCTGTCATGTATTTTTTTAATTTTTAAAATTTTAAAAATATTTACTAATTTTTATTAGCACATGCTTGCAATACACAATTGCATTCATTGTAGGGAGGTGGTACATAATATATGTTTTATTCTATTTTAAGCAGCATCTGTAGTGGAAATGACAGGATTTCTAGTTGCTCAAATACATGTGAAAGCATAAGAAAGTGCAACACTGTTTGACTCCTGCTTTCTCTGTCTCGGAACTGATTGATTTTGTTTCTTCTGTAAATATTATATTTGTATCATCACCATTATTATTATTATTATTATTATTATTATTAGCTGAGCTGGAGCTTGAACCCAGGGCATTGTGATTGCTAGGCAAGGACTCTACCACTGAGCAACATCTCTAGCCCTTTTTATTTTATTTTGAAACAAGATCTTGCTAAATTCCCCAGGCTGGTTTCAAAGTTTCAGTTCTCTTGCCTCAGCCTCTTGTGTAGCTGAGATTACAGGCATATGCTTTGACACGTGGCTACATTTGCTTTTAAGAACATTAACTCCATGTGAAATTATTGAGTACATTTTACTTATAACTTTGCATACAGTTTTTTGTGCCTACCTTCTCAATTAGACAGCGAGTTCACTAAAAGCAGGGGTGAAATGTAGACTTTCAGCGCACAGTCCAGACCTACTTCATTATAATCTGTATCTTGACATGATAAGAGTCTCCTTCCTACCCTTGCCATTACCTAATAAAAGCTAAAGGATGATGAAAGGCTTGCGAAGAAAAGGATTAGCTTGGCAGATCTTTGTGCCCTCAGGTCAGTTTTGCTAAATTTTTTGAATACTTTCATGGAAGTGTTGCTGAACATCCACAGCTTTTTGTCTTTTCTTTGTTTTATTTAAGCAAAAAAAGGCAAATGTTTCTTGTCCTCTTATTTGGGTCAAAATACAAATTATGGCTCACTTTTAAAATCAATGTAATTTACTGGAGAAAAAAATGAGTTCAAGATTTTAAAAATAAAAACACCTCAGCAGCTTGGCCCTGAAAAGAGGATAATATTGCATCTGTACCGCTTCTCTCTCTTTCCTCCCTGTCCCAGCACACTAATCACCCAGTAGAGTGCTATCTGTGCTCTCTGTGGAAGAAGGCACATTGCCTCTCGCCCTTATTTTCCAACCCTAAGTGAGGAGCTGCACTCCTTCCTCTGCTTACTCTGCTGTCGCACTGTTCATTTTGCAAAGCTTCACGACTGAACCATGTTTCCTCCCTTGCCAGGATGGTGATGTGATTGGCATAAACACACTGAAGGTGACTGCCGGAATCTCCTTTGCGATTCCCTCAGATCGAATCCGGCAGTTCTTGGCAGAATACCATGAGCGCCAGTTGAAAGGTGAACAGAGCTGGGGGTTTTGGTCCCCTCTTGTGTGGCTCAGAAGCACTCCACCTTTTGCGGAGACAGTGGTTAGAATTCTATACAGGACTGGTCATTGGGTCTCAGACTCTCTCATGGTTATTTGGGTGGCCATATGGACTCTAGGCACAAAATGAGACGTGAGATATACCCAGAAATATGTGAGTAGACTAGAGGCAGGAGGTATGTTTGTGCTGGTGCCCTTCCAGTTCAGGGCAAGAGAGCATGCAAGGGCTGCTGCAATCACAAAGAGACTCTGAAACTTGGGTGGCTTTTAAGCTGTGCCAAAAGGAAGGCAAGAAGTCTTGTTGTTAGTCACACATTATTATAATTTTCCTTTCCAGGCAAGGCTCCTTTGCAGAAGAAATATCTGGGTCTGCGAATGCTGCCTCTCACTCTGAAGTAAGCATGACTTTGGCTATGTCTGGGTTGTTTCTGTGAGGCAAGTCTTAGCTGGATGATTTGGATAGAAAAGTTAATGAATTTGACTGCAATGAAGTACTCTTGTGACCACGGGCTCTGTTTGTCAGGAAATGTGCCTGACTCAGCACACCAGCATTCACTGTGTAAGAGTGTGCTTTGCTGGGCATGCATTGTATCACGTCCAGTGATTCTAGGTTTTAATACAGAGGATCAGAGGAGATGCAACCAGAGCAGATGATTGTCCTGGGTGTCTGTGAGCCTTGAGAAGAACAGACAGGGGATCTAGTAAGAGCTCCAGGCTCTTACCAGGGCTCAGGAGATGACTTCATGTGCTAACCATTTTGTATTACCTAGCCTTCTTCAAGAAATGAAAAGGCAAGATCCAGATTTTCCTGATGTGAGCTCTGGGGTTTTCATATATGAAGTGATTCAAGGAACAGCTGCTGAGAGGTCAGTGCAGGTCTTTCCAAAATCCTGTGTTTCTTCTGGATATGGGTGGTGGTGACGGCATGGAGGCTCTAGACTTCATCCATTACTGCCTACACATAGAGTGTATTGAACACCTGAAATATAGCTAGAGTGACTCCATGTCTCAGTCACTTTCATGTTGCTGGGACACAGCACTCAACAGCAGCATCTTAAAGGAGGAGAGGTTTGTTTTGGCTCACAGTCCCAGTCCCTGATCATCTGACTCTAAGATGGAATCAAGATGGTGGAAGGGATTGGCAGAGGACATCTGCTCCTGTCGTGGTGGCCAGGAAGCTGAGGGGCAGGAGAGAGGTGCTAGGGAGGGAGAGATGCCCTTCTGGGTCATGCACCAGTGATCCATCTCTTCTGATCAGGTCCTACTTCCTAATGTCACATTTGCCTATACACCCCTACAAGCGAATCACCTTTTAAAGCCCCACCCATGAATGCATGAAGCCCAGGGGACATCTAGATGTAAACTATGACATTCAGGAACTGAATTTAAAATTTAATTTTAATTGACTGAATGAAAAAAGCCAAGAAGCAGTGCATAATATTTTCCCATTTCCCTTTGTGCTTTAGAAAGACTGTTTAATCCTTGCAGTGTGTAAAATACCATCATTATAGAATATCCTATTGGGCATGAGTTTTTTCAAGTGGATTTCAAAGACTCATAGAAAACAGTGCAAAATATCTATGGAAGAATTTAAGGATATTTATTACATGTCAAAATGATGACGACATTCAGCTAAATAAGATACATTATCAAACTTTATTTCATCTATTTGAATTTCTTAAAAAGATGGCTATCAGAAAATTTAAAATGACATATATGGCTTACATTATATTTCTAGGGGACAGTGCTGATATGATAATAGTAGAAGTTTAAATTAGTTTTGCTAGGAATTACCAAATTTTTTGTAGTAGTGGGGATTGAACCCAGGGTCTCATGCAAGTCAGGCAAGTGTGCTACTGCTGAGTTACATTCCTAGCCCCAAATCTACCTATTTGTCTTAATCACTTTCATGTTGCTGAGACACAATACCCAATACCCACAATGTAAAAAAGGAGAGGTTTCTTTTGGCTCTTGGTTTCATTCCATAGTCAGCAGGCTTCAGGGGAGAAACAGGATGGTAGAGGAGCATGGTGGGGGGAAAAAGGAGCGCAACTTGTGGTGGCCAGAAAGCAGAGACAGAAGGGAGGAGCCCAGGAGGAGCTCAGAAGGAAGACACTGTGCGCCCTCTAGGTCCTGTCCTCAGGGACTTCCTCCTCCACCAGGCCCCACCTCCTAACAGCACATTCAGCTTTGACTTCATCAGTGGATAATACCCCAAGACCCAGTCACCTTCCCTAACACAGGAGAATTCCGGGGACATGTTAGATCTAACCAGAACACTACCCTTTTGATATTATTGCTCAATAACTATGAACTGTTACACTATTAAGTAATTAATTGTTATTAAGTATTAATAACTGTAACTAATAGTAAATAATTGAATAGTTTAGAGTTAAATAATTAATAATTATTAAGAATGGGAAGAATCTAGAATGTTTAGTGTTACCAGGAAGCTGGGCTCTTACTTCTTGATTGTTGGTTCTTTGTGGCTTTGATGAAAGAATTTAGTTCAGACAAATAGGGGGCTGTGCAGAAGTCTAGGTAGAGTTTATTGTAAAGTAGATGTATAGAGTTACATCTTCAGGCAAGAAGATAGGCAGCACCATGCAGGCATCTACATCCAGTGTGAGTTTGCAGGTCTTTTTACACACACAAGAGCTATCCTTCTGGCCCTTAGGGAATGAGGGTGGTTAGGATGCTCATGGACAATTTTCTTAGAAGTTCTTTGGAATGTTGATATCTTGTTCTTTTCAGATGGTCAGTATTCTGTCAGGGGCTGTAATGGTGTAAGAAATTTAAAGAAGACATCTAAATCAGATATCCATCCATGGTGGGGGCGGTCTTTAAAGAATGTTCCCCTTTCTGGGGTCATTGTGGCAATCAGGCATGCTGTATGCCTTATTCCAGAAATAGAGGTCATGTGTCCCAGGGTCTGAGATTTAAGAAATTATTACAACTGTGTCATACACTGAGGTCATTGTTCCTTCATTTAATTAACTGGCACATCATACCGTTTTGGCCCCTATGTTGTCCCTCAGGCCTACTAATGTGTAACAATCTGCTTAACACTGTTTGTATGCATTGTAGGCCCTTTAAAACACCTTTTACACTGAGCCCTAGATGACAGTGTCAGAGGCCAGTGCTGAGAAATCAAAGGCCAGAACAGCCCTAAAAGAAGGTTCTCCAGTTGACTTTGCTATTGTTTTAGGACATTTAACATTAGGGAAGAGGTGGCCTGTTTATATATATATATATATATTTATATTTATATTATTCTTATTCTTATTCTTATTCTTGGTCTCCTACTTCTCTCTTTTTTTTTTTTTTGTCTTTTTGAGACAGGGTCTTGCTATGCATTTCAGGCTGGCCTTGAGCTTACTTTGTAGCCCAGGCTGGTCTTGAACTTGCAACAATCTTCCTCCCTTAGCCTCTCAAGTGCTGGGATTACAGCGTGCGCCACCGTGCCCAGCTTGGTCTCCTACTTCTTCATTATCTTTTCCTCACTGTTTTTATTTTTCAAGATCTCACCTATTTTAGACTATAGCAACTCTTTCATGAGTGGAAAGAAATCATCGGAACTGACTGTTCAACATGGCTAAGTGTTAGATATGTTACTGAAGTTGACTTGTTCTGGGCTTTACCAGACTTTCCTGGTTTCAGCCCTGATTTCTATCCTCATCCCCACCCCTTATTTTTTAACTTCTGGTCAAAAGCCAAAATGACTGCTTTCAGCTAAGTTGTTACACAAAATATGGTATGTGATTAGGCCATTAGTGTCAGCAGGAGCTGGTAGGAAGGCAGAATTACAGGCCCCACTTCCTGCCCACTGAAATCTGCATCCTCTTCCTTGGTGGCGCTGAGGATCAAATGCAGGACCCTGCACACGCTAAGCAAGTGTTCTCCTGCTGACCTACACTCTCAGCCAGAATCTATGCTTTTAACAAGATCCGCAAGTGCTTTGTAAGTGTTAGAACTGAAAGTCACTGCTGGAAGTTACTGATGTGTGGACATCCAGTCTGTCTGCCTTTTACTCACTTATATCTGACGATAATGATAATAATTACAGTGATAAGAGCTGGCACTTAGGAAGCATTCACTGTGTGTCAGGCACAATTTAAAGTGGTTTTTTTTTTGAGACAGGGTCTTGCTGTGTAGTTCAGGCTGGCTTTGAACTCACTGTGTAGCCCAAGCTAGCCTTGAACTCACAGCGTTCAAGTCTCCTGCATCAGTCTCCTAAATGCTGGGATTACAGGCATGCGCCTCCACGCCCAGCTGAAGTATTTTATGTACTTATTTGTGCCCTCAAAGTCTTATGATGTAGGGATAGTTTCTTAGGGGGAGCAGCTGTGACACAGAACAGTTAACTTAGAAAGTTATACCGGGGGTCAGACAGATGTGGACCCTGGCGTAATCCCTCTATTGTCCTGCTTTTCATGCTCGTGACAGGCAGAGTGATTTAGTGGCAAGGTGATGAGTTTTCAAGTCTTAAAAGCCAAGGTTCTATTTTACTTTCACCTTTTATAAGTTGTGCGGCCCAGAAAAGGTCATTTATTTCACCTGAGCCTATTTTCTTACATTACGCGTGTAGAAGGCACGAAGTAATAACTTGCAGGTTTCTCTCTTATTCTCCTTTCCTAAGCACAGAACTGTTATGAATTATGTTCCTTGGGTAGACAGTTCTAAGTCATGCTACTAAGCTGTCCTTGTTCCCAAGGCCTTTCCTGAATTCAGCTCTATATTTGCTTCTCTTCATATCCACTTAAATTTCCTATTTCTTTGTTTTTGGTACTGAGGATTGAACCCAGGGCCTCATGTATGGTGAGGATACACTCTTCCTATCTGCTTTTCAAACTCCACATACCTTGGTGATTGTACCACATTGTCATTTGTGTGTGAGTGTGTGTGTGTGTGTGTGTGTGTATGCTTTCCATGCCCCTTACATGGTTTCTTCTTGAGTCATTAAACTTGATGACCTTCTTTCAGCATATTTTCATCTTTAAGACAAACCATCAGCCTGGCTGTGTTTATTGCAGAGTTTATTATTTGGAACTGCTTTTATTTCGAGAACACATATTCTGTGTGAAGTGAATATGCTGGAGACCGAATAGAATCACAACTTTTAGAAAAAGCCTAGAATCAAAGGTTCACATATTTAGACTTAAAAGGTTGAGAGTAGTTTATTTACTGGAAGCAGCATTTCCATAATGCAGCTCAACATATTTTTCAGTTCTTTAAACTATGGTCTGCCCAAATCAAACTGATCAGAGAACAACTCAAGGGGAAAAAATGCACTACTCAGGCTTTGTACTTTTGCTGGTGAGACTGGGAATGTGCTTGGAGAGAGGTCAGAGATGAATAGACATAAAAGCTAAACTCTCTGTTCCAAACCAAATCTAAAATATGGGTGGCATAAACTTCTTACGAGTTTCAAAGGCTATTAATTTTATACAGTTAAATAGGATTGTTGTCCTCCAGGTGATTTTATAGCATATCTTAAAATAACCATCGTATTTGTATTAAGGTTATTTCTGGTTTGTATGTTTAATACCTACACAATAGTACTGCTATAAGAATGAGGTATTACATTCTAGCTGGGGATAAGTAAAACGTTTCTTTGAACTTCATGATGTTTCATTTTTTTCTTCCTTCTCAGTTCTGGGTTAAGAGACCGTGATGTAATTGTCAGCATCAATGGGCAGCCAGTTTCCAGCACAGCCGATGTCATTGAAGCTGTTAAAGACAATGATTCCCTTTCCATCACTGTGCGTCGGGGAAGCCAAACCTTGTTTCTGACAGTCACACCTGACATAATCAGTTAAGCATCTTACCTTAAAAGAGATTTAACAAAACCAAAGTTTTATCACCTGGTTTATATTGAAGATATGTCAAAGATAGCAGGGGTTTTCTGGAGCTCTTTCTCATGAAGAACAATGAATGTTTAATTAAAGGCATGCATGCTTGTGCATTCGCGCACACAGGGCAGGGCATCCCTGGGCTGGGGCACCACTCTGCTGCCCAGCAGACTTTCTAAGCCAAGTGTAGGACACAGTGCCAGAAGTCTGGAGTTGATAAAATTTTATTGACAGATAGGAAACAACTGAAAAATAGGCACAGTTTTTAATAAAACCTTGACAGAGACGCTTCAGTAGTTTAAGCCTTGCCTATACACGCACATAGACAAATAGATCTATTTACCAAATACTAAGAAACAGCCTGAGTCCAGTGTGCAAAAGTAATCATATTTTAATAATACTCCTTCTTTAGTCAGTTTTCCAGGTTTGTCACATTTGGCCAGGGTTTGTGGATATGGAGGAGGACATTATTTAGAAGTTAAATTGAAATGTAATAATGGGGGATTGTCACACAAGAACATTACTAATGACTCTCAAATTATCACTCCAGCAGCAGAAACAACTTTGGTCTCCAATGGCACTTCTAACTGTGAAACGATCTTTTACAAAATAGTTTCTTGATAATGTACAGACTTCTACTTTTCTACTGAGGTTCTTCCTGGCAATAATAATGATTTCAAAGTTCTTTTTTTTTTTCAAGAAAATAACTTTTGTTTGGTGGTACTGGGCGTTGAACCCAGGGGCACTCTACCATTGAGCTACATCCCTAGCCATTTTTTATTTTTTATTATTTTTTTTCATTTGAGAAAGGGTCTCACTAGGTTACCTGGGCTGGGCCCAAATCTGCCATGCACCTGCCTCAGCCTCCAACATAACCATTACTGGCATGTGCCATGATGCCTGGCTAACAAAACAACTTTTGATGGTGTTTGCGAACATTTTTAGGGAGGTTTTTTTTTTTTTTTTTAAGTGTAAGATGATATGGGTTATGTTTTAAAAGTAGTATCTTATTGTGGAACTAGTAGTTCCTATTTTTCAAACTTCCCCTAAAAATGAAGGGTTATTTTGGTTGTTGAAATTGCTTTTTGGTTTTTCTGGTTTTTTTTGTTTTTTTTTTTTAATAGGAGCCCTATTAAATTCTATGTAAAATTTTATATAGATGTATATTTATCTGAGGAGAGAGCCTAGTTTCTTCATGATCCATAATAATTAAAAACAGAAAAACCTCCTAATTCTATCTTGATATTTGGTATCTTTGAAGTAGGAATATGTTTTTCTTTCTGTTTTTCTGTTATGTTGCTGGTCTAGGGATCAAACCCAGGGCCTTGTACATACTAGGAAAGAGAGATATCCCTATGCCAAAACTAATTTTTTTTTTAATATAGTAACTTGGAGCCCTATTAAATTCTATGTAAAATTTTATATAGATGTATATTTATCTGAGGAGAGAGCCTAGTTTCTTCACGATCCATAATAATTAAAAAATACTGCCTTAGAGTATAGAGATTACAGATTAAGAGTCTACCAGTTAAAGCTGTAATAAGCAAGGTAAAGGTCAATGTGATATAGTACTTTTAAGACTGAACAAGGTAGTTTACTTTAATTTTTCCCACAATGCTACCTCTAGTAATAAAACAGTGATCTTATTAACCAGGGATGATGAACTAGAAACTTTTAGGAAAATGTTATAAGATGATAGAACATTTTCAGGGAAGTTATTTTAACTGTGATTCTTGGTCTTTAAGTCAGTTATTACGAGGGCTAACTGAGAAGTTCTACCTTTACTGCTCCTGGATTTTGTAAGTTATTGCCCGCCACCTTTTTTGTGGTACTGGGTATCAAATACAGGGCCTTGCATATGCTAGGTAAGTGCTCCACCACTAAGATATACCTCCAGCCCCCTTGTAAATTATTCTAAATAGCAGCTCTAGGTTTGGCTTGTACACAAAGTCTACTTCTTATTTTATACTTCACAGTTCTTTTCAATTTAGATTGAAAAGGATGGTGATTGAGTTTTTAAAACCATTTGTAACTGGGAACATTTCCTTTTATTCCCAGTGACCTGGGAATGCAAAAGCTTAACTGTATCCCTTTCTGACTGATGTTGTCCACTGTAAGCACGTTTAGTGTCATGCCTGTTTGGAAAGAATATATTTAGTTTTTCCTTGCTCTCATAAATCACCTCCTAATTCTATCTTGATATTTGGTATCTTTGAAGTAGGAATATGTTTTTCTTCCCAAGGGCATGGTGATTCTCATTTTATCTTGCCTAATTTTGAAAGGAGTTTTATATTACTTATTTTACTTCATCATCCTTGTAACATGGGCTCCATGAACTGGAAGACACTGATATTTTAAATAGGACAACTCTGCCAAAAGAAATAGCTCAACTCATTTTTGTGTCTAGTATTGTTGGCTTTCAAAACATAATTGAAATGAAGAAATTATACGACTGCATGTATTGCCTCTGGAACATATAGGGTTTATTAATAGAGTGGTTCATTTCAATGAGTAACTTTCAGCAAAACAAATATAATTTTGAGGTTTACTCTCCCTCCTGCAAATACTCATATAGCACTCCAGGTTGGCAAAATTTATCCTACAATTTAAATTAAAAAAGTCAGAATTTCATGTGTTTTAAAATCCATGGCCATTTACACTTCTGCTAAAGATTTTCATTGGCTCAGCTTTGGGTCATCTCTGCATGAAGATAGAGTCACAAAAGGCACACAGATAAACATACTCACTTCACCTATCTTGGACTGGAGACAGAGCAATATCCAGAAATAAAGAATGTGGAAACCTGTCTGCAGTTAATAAGTTAGTCATTAGCCTTTATATTTTGTACACCAGGAACGGTACAAATTTGATCCCCACAACACCATTTGCTTGTCATTCTAGTCTGCCAGATAAGATTTGGGTTGAAAATGTATCATCCAAAGAATTCTTCTTACAAACCCATTTCCTCCAAAGACAGAAGTGTTCAGGTCTGATAATCGAAGAATTCTGAGCCTGAAGAGATGAGTTCAGGAGACAGAACACTCACGTGTCTCTCTGGGGTGTAACAGCAACTCTTTAGTAAATGGTGCACCAGTTGCTGCCATCGCTTGGCATCAGCCCTCCAGTGATAAGCAAAATCAGGTCAACAAACCACCAAATCCCAAGTCCTCCAAGTGTCAACAGCTTCCCAACTGCTGTGCCAGTGTGTCCCAGACAGAAACGATCCACTCCAAAACATCCCAGGAAGAAGGAATACAGTAAAGTGGTTATGAAATAGTGTCCGGTATACCTTGACAAAAGGAATAAAAAAGAAGATGTTTAACTACAGGAAAATGAAAACACTTAAAGATGAATAAATTTACAGTAAGTGAAAAATTGGTACAACTGTCCCTCTGTGGCCTCTTACCCTCTGTTTTGGGTTCTTTTCTAGCATGCTCAGTTGGTGTAGCCATAAAGGGAAGCAAAAAAGAGACTCCAAAAAATAGCCAGTTTATTAGAGTATTAGGGTATTAGAGGCAGGAGGCATGGGCTGCTATGCAGGAACATGTGTGCGCAGCACCAGAGGGGTGAGGAGACAGAAGTGAGGGAAAGCTTAGGCCACTGTCTTTCCTGGGATTTCTCTATAGGAAATCAAGGCAGGGTAGGGTGAATAGTCTATGATTGGCAAGCTTGAGTAATTTCAGCAACCTAGTCTATACAGGTGGTCCCTAGTTGCCTAGCAGCTGATCCTCGGATACTCCATATACAGAAATATTCTCTCCTAGGGCTAGAGGGCAGATTCAGGAAGTATAGGTCTGGATTAGTTTGTGTGCCTATCAAGGCCATGCTCCTGGGTGAGCTCTTTGCTATCTCTAAAGTAGGAAGTTTGTTTGTTTTTGTTCTTGAAATGAGGTCTCCCTGTGTAGTTCAGGCTGACACTGAACTTACTATGTAGCCCAGGCTGATCTTGAACTCACGGTGATCCTCCTGCCTTAGCCTGCGGAGTGCTGGGATTATAGGCATGTACCACAGCATGCCCGGCACTCTTTGCTATCTCTAAGAATTCATCAGACTTGGGAGAGGCAGTCTCTCCCCACCTAGAAAGATTTTTTAAGATGTCATACATCACAATATATAAAACCTTTGCAGAGTTAGATTGGATGAGAAATCATCAAGCACATTTGTGTAACATATGTGGAGAGAAGGGCTGGGGATATAGCTCAGTGGCACAAGTGCCTGCCTGGCAAGTGTAAGGTCCTGAGTTTGATTCCCAGTACCAAAAAAAAAAAAAACAAAAACAAAAAACCAAACAAAACACAAACAGATGTGGAGAGGAGTTGAGCTCCCATCATCTCCTATGCATATGCAAGCTCCTTTCTTGAGGCTTGGCTGGCTGCCTTAAGAATTATAGCTTTTCCTAAAATGAGCTCCTGATCTCTTTCTTGCTGTTTTCTGGCAGCTAAAAGTGAAGACTTCTTGAGGCTTCTGTTCTTACATATAATGAAGACATTTAACTGCAGTTGTTAATATTGTCACTGACCCTTTCTATTAACTAACAGTATAAGTAAATTCTGTACTTTGGGAGCTAGGTCATCTGGTACAATTTCTGCTGCTGCTGAGGCAAAGACTCTGAGTGCTCATAGACACTCAGTTTCTTAGTGCTAGAATCACTTAGTGATACAACCACATCACCTCTGTCTCTGTCAATGGATTATGTACTGGAGTAATCACGTTACTTCTTTAACACCTAAAAGTCACACTAAAGAATGACAATGAAAATGACTCTTACCTTCATCCAAGTATCAACTACCCCATTCAAATTAACACTTACTTTGGGCAGGAAGTGTAGCTCAGAGGTACAGCTTGTGCTTAGTAAGCATGAAGCCCTGGGTTTAATTCCATATACCCTCCTCCCCACATACATGCGTGTGTGCACTCACAGAAAAATAACACTTACTTTATACAAGGTTTATTTTCACGTAGGAAGGTCCTAGGACTGGCACACTCAATTCCATCTAGGGCCTGACACTGGACAGAAGTGTGTTCCACATCACTGTAGGCCTGACCACCAAACTGTAGAATAACCACCAAAACAAACAAAACAACCTCACCAAAGCAAGCAACACAACAGTGCACTTTTATACTCACTAATAAACACTGTATGAGTACTCACATACTTCCAATGATTTTAGATTAGTCCATCCCAAATGTACTGTTGTTTTTATTTTTTTGAGACAGGGTCTCGCTATGTGGTTCAGGCTGGCCTTGAACTCACTATGTAGCCCAGGCTGGTCTTGAACTTGTAGCAATTCTCATGTTTTAGGCTTTTGAGTGCTGGGATTATAGGTGTGCACCACCACACCTGGCCTGTATGTTGTTTTAAATAATACTCCTCCATTTATGACTAGCCTCTTTATTAATAAACTAAAAAAAAAAAAACCAATCAATTTGATTAAATGGCATTTGGAAGAAACTGACACAATGCTTTAATTATATTTACATGAAAAACAGCACACAAATAGAGCATTTGAAAATGAGTGTTTAAAAAATCAATGTGTAGGGCTGGGGATATAGCTCAGTGGAACAGTGCCTGCCTGGCAAGCGCAAGGTCCTGAGTTTGATTCCTAGTACAAAAAATAAAAACAGAAACAAAAACAAATAAAAAGTCAATGTGTAACTAGAAGTCTGTTTTAGATCCATTATAAGTTAGCAGAATTAAAGAGGAAGTAAAAATTAAGATGTGTTATGTACTTGTGTACCAACTCTCCCTGATGGATGTAATCATTATGTACTGCAAACATGGGCTAATAATTAAAAAAGTTAACAGAATTAGAGAATTCACAATATCAACTGACTTTGGATTTTATTTAGGACATGAATGGGTGACTATCAGGTATCTATAGTCCATCTACAGTGTAAATTTAAATTCCAGCAAAAAGTTTTGAAAAAACCCCCACCTCTTACCTTTAGCTTAACTGAATGCTAGCAGAGAATAACACAGCTATACATTTTTTTACTGGCACCTTACTGGTACTTTACTACTACTGGAGTGTTGCTCAAAGGGAAGTGCCTGGAAAAATAAGGATGGTTACTCCCAATGCCTCCCGAGTACTGCCAATCCTTAGGACTTCACTGCCTTAACCCCCATATATGACTAATGTGTCACTTTAAAATGGGTAAAAGTAATTGTCTATACAATGCTAATTAAGCTTTTATCAGTAGTTCTCAACAGAACAAAAGATCACTATTTAAAATATTTCTTTACATATGATTCAGTAAGAGTTGCCTTCTGGTTTTTCTTACTGTAAAGTTTTCCTCTGTGTCTGATTTAGTACAAAAATGTTTTCCTAGAATTCAAAATGTTTTCCTAGAATTCTCTTAATACTTGGTTGAATTTTGCATTAGCATAGTGCAGAGGTAATACATGAACTCTGTTGGTGTTTGGAGACTGACTAGCAGTGTACACCTAGATTTAAGGATATTAGTAATGCATCTGAATGGTTTCTTTCCATTTCAAGAGGCCATTGTTACCAAAGGTTTCCCTTGACTACTTCAACCTCCTATAAAGATATCTCCTAGAGACTCTATCAACTTCCTAAGGACATGGTGCAACTTGCTGAAAATAAATAGTCAGCATGAAGAAGAGCTTTGCCCTCAATGTGTCTGTAAGAAAAAAAATGCTCAGTTTCAGAAAGTGCATAGCCTTTCTTTTGTTCTTCAGGAAAGGGCACACCTTGAAGGATAAGTGATATTTTAGCTTCAAATCTGTCACTTTCAAGGTCGAAGGACCCAAGGGCAGATTAGTCTTTGCACCTGGGTGGTTTTGGCACAGAAACTACTTCTTGAGGATACCAAACACCTTGTTCAGCCAGTGATCTTGGCCGTGCTGGAAATTTCCAGTAGCAGCCATTTGAACAGATTCCTACAAAATGTAACTTCGTGGGCTTTTATGTGTTTCTGTAACAACATGTGGCCAGTACTATTTTTCTGGGGAAGTTTGCATAGCAAAACAAAAAGCTCACCTTGAGGCAACCGTAACCAAGTTCCTGGGATGCAGTTGAATTTCCAACATGATCCACTGGGTCATCACAATGTATAAATTCATCAGGTCTGAAAATCACCAGTCAGATCATGATCATCATTATCCTCTTTGCAAACTGCTGTTCAGTTGTACCCAATCAAAACAGACAAGAGCCATTTCTTCATTAGGCTTCCTGGGGCTCATTTTCAATCTGTATACCCTTTTCCCAGTCTAGTGGTGGTGTCAATGACCCTGAAGCACAGCTAGTCACATTAACAGCCACCCAAATGACCCTTTTGTTGGGGAGTTGTTTCTAGTCCCGCTTCTACTTGGATTGCACTTCTACCAGGGTTTCACCTCTTCCTAGGCAAACAACCATAAGGCTATGAGAGCAGCATTTAAGCCAAAGGATTCTCAATGCTCTGCTTTTCCCAAAGGCCTTTCTTTTTAATCAAAAACCCCTGTTAAAAATGGCTTGAGTCCGCAATGGCACAGCTACTGCTTTAGTAACAAGTTATTCATTCCATTTGTGTTTCACTCAGTACCCGTGAAGAAGGGAGCAGGAGAGAGAAGGCACAGCCATAGCCTGGCATGCTGCTTCTTCTGCAGAAGAAGCTGTCACACCACTTTGAGGATCCCTCAAATGTGCCACCGACACACGAGGCTTCTCCCATACAAGGGAGTCGAGCGCGGAACCTGTCATGGTGACTACTTGCCCTAGATCGGGTCTCAAGGTGGCGAAGGTCCAGGCAGCCTCCGCCCCACGCCCGCTTCCGATCGCCCCCGCGTGATCCCTGGCCTGTTTTCCACCTCCACCCTCCTCGACAATGGGCGGCTTACAGGTAAGAGCAGAGGATGACTGGAGACTGGGGGTCGCCGTATTCCCAGTTCGCAGCACTAGCCAGGCCCTCCGGGTGGGCGGCGCCCGCTGACGTGAGCTCGAGCTCGGCAGTAGCATTGTATGAGTGGCTCCGAGAGACACAATGCAGCAGAAGTAGATTCCCCAGCAGCAAGGCCGCCTGGCCGCACAGAAGCAAGTAACTCACCGGGCAACCACCCAGCACCATCTTCTTAGGCCCTGCGGCAGAGACCCAACCTCAACCACAAAGCCGGGTAGATACAAAGGAGCTAAGCCTGCGCTGTCAGGCCCCTGCGGGTAGCCGCCCTCCTAGCTACCGAACAGCCAGTGGGCGCGCAACTGGACGCCCCGCCCACCCCTGCAGCCAATCAGAAGAGGAAGGGCAGGAGCGTACGCTCGTATTTCCTTTTCAGTTCCTTTCCGGGGTCTCACGCTCCTCCTCTTTACGCTACGAGCGCTTTGTCCAACCCGTGTCCTCTACCCCAAAAGTGGGCGGGTTTGGAATGGAGGGGCGGGGCAGATAGTAATTGGGCGGAGTCGGCCGCTGCGTGTTCACGAGGCCAGTTCTATTCTCCCGCCGGGACTGGATTTTATCTACGTCAGCGGAGCGAGCGCGCTGCCGGGAACGAGCCCGGAGCGCGGGATGGGTTGCGTCAGTGCCGCGCGCATGCCCGCCTCCGGGCGCGCGCATCCTGTCCCGCACGGGGCCCGGCAGGGTTCTGAGATGATGGACAAGGCGGAGACTGCGCGCTGAGGGGAACCTGCTGCGTCTGTCGGGATGGGGTCGGGCGCGGGCTCGCCCTCTGGGACCCTCCGTGTCCAGTGGTTGCTGTTGTTCGGTCTGGCGGGCCCGGTGCTCAGTGGGGAGCGGCCAGGTGGGTGTCTGGCTCCGCAGTCCGCCGGGACCGCTGCTTCCCGCGCGGAGACGTCCGGCGTGAACCCGCGGACCCCGGGGCGGGCCCGGGGCCGGAGTGGAGCTCGGCTCGGGAGACCCGGGCTGCGGACGGTGCCCG